ATTTTTAAGCAACTCAAAAAACAACTTCTCATTTCTCATTTTCCCACAAAATGAGAAGTGGTGTATTTGTGGAACCAGCTCCCATACTGCTTTCTGACCACGTTAAAGATTAATAGGAGCATGTTGGGGTTGGCCCAGTGGTCGTGAGTTCAGTCCCTATCAGCTGGCTGATCGTGGGCTTCCAGGATAGACAGCCTAGTTCATAGTTCCCAGAGTCAACCAGTGTAGCAGATGTTTATCTCTGGACATCTGTTAAGTCCCCTGTTTACTCAGAGACAGTGGCTGGGTGCTAGGAAGACAGGGAAAGGCCACAGGCCATAGTCCCGACCTCCCCTGGTCCGTAAGGGCGGAAGCCGGTGAGCAACATGGATAGTTCAGGGCCTGAGGGGAGACAGCATAGCTCCAGGTGCAGCGACGGGCAGGTTCTGAGGGTCCTTAACCAAGAGCAATGACTAGAGAGTCAGCTTTTCCCTAAGAGATGGTAAGAGGCCAAGAGCAGACCAGGCCTCCGAGCTGAGGGGCGCCCTTACTCCTGCACGCCCAGAGAGGAGGAGACCCGGGCGGGCTGGCCGGCCAGGGTCTCAGCGGGTCGGCCGGTTTCGCAGGCCTACCGCTGGATGATCGACTCCAGAGACGAGTTCACGGAGGAGCGCCTGGCCAAGCTGCAGGACCCGTTCTCGCTGTACCGCTGCCACACCATCATGAACTGCACCAGGACCTGCCCCAAGGTAGGCGCTGGCGGCTCGCAGTTTGCCCGGGCTGTGCCGCAGGCGCAGGCTGGCAGAAAAACCCGGCACTCAGGCGGAGAGGGCGGGAGTGCCAGTCAGTCAGGATGGAGTAAGGGCTGCTTACTAGAGACACTGGAGGGAGGGGTCTGCCGCAGGAGCCGTGACCAGACCTGCCCACAGCAGCGCGAGCAGGGGACCGGATTCCCCTCGCTGTCACCAGCGCCGCTCTCCTGTCTCAGGTCCTGCTTCTTAGCTCTCAGTCGCTTTCTGCTTATACTTCTGTTTTCATGGCTCACCTTGACCTTTAGCTTCTACCTTCTGCCTGTCCTGTCAACATTCCTCAGCTCAGTGTCCTCCAGGGAATGTCAAGGCCCGAGGCAGCTTCCCAGCAGCCGCGCCAGAGGGGCCAGCCGTGGGGTAGCAGGCTAATCAGAGCCATTGTCAGAGAAAGGAAAGACGGGCTCTGGCAACAGGAAGTGCAGGCTGGCCACTTCCCTTGCCCTGATTGCACCGGCGGGGCAGGCGTGTCCAGCCCACGGTCACGGACGCCCCTCCCTGGCCGGGCTCACTTACTGTGGGGCATGGATCCTCTCCTTTTATCAAGGGGCTAAATCCAGGGAAAGCTATTGCCGAAATCAAGAAAATGATGGCTACCTACAAGGAGAAGAAAGCTTCCGCTTAACTGTTCCGGTGCTGACCCGACTGGCCCCAGCTCAGCTGAACGTGATTTATACCTGATTGGAGTTCCTCCAAAGGTCTTGATTTTCCATGAACGCAGCATGTATAATAAAAATTTTAAAAAATAAAATAAATGTTATTCTACTTTACTAACAAAGAAAATCAAGCCTGTTCTTTTTACTTGCTGCGGTGGATGTGAAGATGGCAGAAAGAGGAACCCTTGACGGGGGAGCCGGGTCTGGGCATCAGCTGGGGTCCTGCAGCTGGGGCGGGTTCCAGCTTCGCCACTCACCAGCTGCACCTCCTCAGGCAAGTTCCTGCTCCTCTTTGCTCCTCCATTTGCTGGTCTGAAGTGGGGTCACCATCAGGCCGGCCTCACCCAGACGCCTGGCACTGAGCAAGCACTCGGTGAGTGCTGGCACTCCTCATGGTACAGTGTCCCGCTTCCCACAGCGCTCAGTAGTAGAATCACTAGAGCAGACTGTGGTGCATCCTTTATCTCACTGGCACAG